TGTAATTAATTCAGAAAATTTTTTCAGGACCCCACCTTGATGTTTCGGGACCCCACTTTGGGTCCCGACCCCAACTTTGGGAAACACTGCCCTAAGACACTAAGGTGGATTTGAGAATCTATTATGATCAAATTCATACAGACAGTGGAAAAATGCCGAATCAACTTTGTAATCATTTTATTTCTTTAGATTTACACTGAAAAGGCTTTGTCATTCATTTTGTCAACCTTTCGTTGCTAACCTTATTTGTTCACTGTTATGCAGACGACACTCAGCTCTACCTTTATACAAAACTTACACCTCCCTCTGTGACTGTCTACAGAAAACCAAAACATGGTCCTCCTATAATTTTTTTAAACTCATTGACAGTTCCTCTGTTTACACCATCACTATAAGACAAGACCGTGGATGTTTTATTGACAGAACTCAACATCACTCCATCTTCATATTACCATCTGTGCAACATTTATCCTTCCCTCACTTCTAACAGCATTGTCATGGTCCACTGTCTGTCCCTTCCCACCTCATGTCCTCTCATAAACTGATTGGATCAGATTTCTGCTGCACTGATCATACCTGTTACATTAYTCTTGCTCAACTCTGCATCTTTTACAACACTCTGCTTCTCAACTGCACGGCCCTTCATTATGCCTGTCCTCCACACCTCAGTGTACACCTCAACATCAACAAAGAGTCTTTGATCCGTCTCATCCATCTCCCTCCCCCTGGTATGGCCACCATGGGCTTTAGAGCATTAAGCTGCTTTGCCCTCCCCCAGGAAATCCAAAAAATATATACATTTTTTAACACATTTAAATCCTATCTAGAAGCTTTTTCAGCAAGCCCGCTCACTTTTACATAACTGTTCCAAATCTCTCTTTTCTCTCTAACACAAAGGCTGTTTAAAGTGGCTGTGATGTGACATTGATCATCTTTGTCTTTGTCAAAATTTACCAATAAATTGAGTGGATTGTTAAAAAAATTATTATTATTATTATTATTATTATTATTATTATTATTATTATTATGAATTTTGCAGCATTATGGCTTATCAAAGTTTAGGTAAAAGATCTTTGTCGCTACCCTCCCCCCACCTTTTCTCAACAAACAAAAGTTGATACTGATTACGTCATTTTGAGAAAAGATAATCTTTATCAAGACCTTAGTGTACTCAGAGAAAACACTGACAAGAGACAAAAAGGTAAGAGCGCATTGGCTCAAGCAGAGATTGGAGGATCTGTGGAAAACAACAAGACAGGTCCGTCAAAGTTAGTTTGATTATAATTAAGTGATTAATCTTTGCTTGTGTTGATTCTGTTTCCAGGTTTGGAGGCAACTGAACAGACTCGAGGATTCTGGGTTTGTTTTTCTTTTCAGGGGGAGGGATTTTTCCAGATAAAGGAGCATTTCCAGGTGAGGCTGCCTGGGAGAACTTTAGTGAGGATAAACYAGCTCTTTCAGATGAGGCCGAGTTCCAAAGGATGACAGGTAATTCCAATGGGTCATAAAGGAAACTATACGCCTTTGTAAGTAAAAACAAATTCATTTTGGGTGATCATATGTAATACAGTATATTGGTCCTGTTGATGTCCAGTAGGCTGCTTTGTAAACAAATGACTGCAGATACCAGTGTGGGTGGAGTAAATTACTGCCTTGGTTTGGTTGGTTCTGACTCATTCGGATGTCAACRCCTCAAACTGTGATCTGTTTCACTTCAAGAGTTTTGCTACTGTTGCTGTGCGTTTTGTTCTCGAGGTTGCTCAGCAGGACAACACTGTCAAATAAAATGTAAAAAAAATAAAAAAAACAATAAAAAAGAAGTTCACACTTTAAATGTGGCTATTTTCTTCATGGTTTGTAAACGTTGGTCTTCTGCGGGTGTTAGCAGCCAACATGTGGACACGCATTTTGGTCTCCATCTGCTTCCTTATATTCTTCTGTTTGCAGACCTGCAGCAGATTGTTTGGCACATTTGTTTCTAATCTGCTAATCTAAAGCAAAACCAGCTACAGAAACTAAGAGCCAGGCAGAAATGTATAAATCTGTTTGGGTAATTCTTGGTGATTTAGCCTCCTTTCAGATGAAACTGTGTTTATTTTTCCTGTTATCTAATTTAGAACATTATGATTTTAGAAAATGGCATCAAGGGTATTGTCTTAAAGTACACATCAATAAAATCTTTTTCTGACATGTTTTTAAATATAGCCTACAGCCCTAGTGGGCAACATTTTTTCCCACCGAAGCCATATTTGACTCGTTAAGGGGGGAGTGGTAGTGCAGAGGCTAGAGAGGCAAAATCGCCAATTCTCTGAACATTATAACTGCATTTGGGTGAGAAAGGTGAAGTACCCTCCTTTGCCTCATTCATTGCTCTTGAGAAAGGGCCACAGTAGTTCAGTGGTCTGTGGTTGCGTCAGTAAGAGCCAAATTGTTGTGCGAGTTTGCTTGGTGTCACAATCCATTGAGAAAAGAACCAGCTGAAAGAAATAAATAACTAAGGGCCACAAGCTGAACCAAAGCCAGGGCCCAGCACCTGCATGTGTCGWACACAAGATTACATCATTTGCAAAAATACATAAAAATTACTTTTTTCTTCTTTTTTCATGACAAGATGAAGCTCATGTCTCCTGCTTTTTTGTAGTGGTGTTTAAGATTTTGTATCAACTTCCTTTCACACAAATAGAAAGTTCCTTTCAGTTTTTTATTTTTTAGTTTATTTTTTGGTTTAGTTTAGCACATGCTCAGTCACAATGCAGCTTTATTAACATAATAAACATAACACTTGTGAGCTATCAATTATTGGCATCTTTATTTTTAAAGGAATGTTTTTAGGCATAATTTATTCAAAATGACTCACTTTTAAAAGTGGTAAAAGGACAGATTTTGTTTAATCTGTCTTCACAAGCCAATAATAAATCCTGGTAATCTTTATTATTG